ATATCAGTTTGCACACAAGGAAAGTAAGAAGCTGTTGTTGTTTTTGTTGTTGATTGCATTGAAGTCATCTTTGACTTAGAGTGGCCCTGTAAATGAGAGACCTTTAAGATGCCCTATCATCACCAGTGCTGCTCAGATCTTGCAGGCGCAAAGTTGTGACTTCCTTGATTGAGTCTATCCACATATAATGTCTCCCATTTTACTAAGTATTATTGTCTTTTCTAATAAATCATGTCATTTCATGTACAGTAGCCTCAGTTTAGTCATTTTGGCTTCTATGGAGAGTTTTGACTTGTTTGTTCTAAGACCCATTTAATGTTCATTTTGGCAGTCCATAGCATCCGTAGAATTCTTCTCCAACATCACTTTCAAATGAGTTGATTCTTTTTCCTGTCAGTTTTCTTAAGTGGTAGAAATCTCTTTTACTGCTATTGACTTTTCTGATGCCTCTGATGGAGTTGTGAAGGAGAAAGTAGAAAGGAAATATTGTTCCACAACTTGCAAAGCCCCTGATAAAGTCTCTTAGGAAATAGGATGCTACTTACCTACACTGAGTGCATAGAATAGATAATTCAGAGGAAGTAGATGATCCTTGTGTTTGGGTTTTCTGTAAAAGCAGAAATTGCACTAGAGATGGACTCATGCCTTATCAATAATAATAATAATAATAATAATAATAATAATAATAATAATAATTTTTATTTATATCCCGCCCCTCTGCAGAGCAATTGGGGCGGCTTACAACATTACAATTTCCATTAAACAAAACCCGAATCCCACCCATCCTTTAAGAAGTAAGGGTTCTTCTTATTCTAGGCTGGGTGGTGCTAGGCTTAGTGTCTCTCCCCCAGATGACATCGGATGGTAATGGAGGGAGGGCTCCAACAATTAGGGAATGGTTAGCTATGAGAGGGGAAAGATATTTAGTGCCAATTTAGTATTGGGAGATGTGTGACACACTGCTGGAGATATTTGATTCTTTAATTTAATGTCCAAAGTAGTGCAGGAGGGAGGCTTAAAATATTTGTGAATGTTTTTATATGCTGGATTTTGCTGATAGAGCTTAATAATAATAATAGAAATCCAGAAGCATTGGGATGCCTAATTGTAGCTATTGAAATTTTCAATTTACTTTCATTAAATTATTTGTAATTGGACTTCTGTCTTTTGAAATTACAGGCATTTCAGTAAGACTATGGAGGAGCTTGTTCATGATCTTGTCTCAGCGTTAGAAGAAAGTTCAGAACAAGCAAGAGGAGGATTTGCAGATACAGGAGATCATTCTCGTAGTGTCTCCTGCCTTCTGAAACGCCAAGCCCGAAAGCGAAGGGGAAGGAAACGACGTTCATTTAACACCCATCATCCCTGGGAGACTGGTCATTGCTTAAGTGAAGGTTCTGATTCCAGTCTTGAGGAATCAAACAAGGATTATAGAGACAACCATGCTAATAATAAAAAAGACCATAGTGACTCTGATGACCAGTTGTTGGTTGCAAAACGCAGGCCTACTTTGAATTTAAATAATCTCAGGGGCAAAAGGCTTCTATGGCATGAACCTGATCTAGCAGTCGACAATTTGGGAAATAGGACTCTGCGTAGACGACGAAAGGTGAAACGAATGGCAATTGATTTACCTTCAGAAATTGCAAACACACTGATGTTACCTCAACAGCAGGACAACATTAAGGATCAAGAAATGGACAATGACAACAGATCTTCCCAACATCAAGAACTAGCAAAGAGCAAAGTTAAAAAAAGGAAGCTAGCAGCAAGTAAGCAGGGACCAGAAATTTTGGATGAAGGTGTCGTTATAGAGAATGATGAACTCAGCCAGGCAAGCAAGGATAAAATGGAGTATGAGGAGCAAAAGGGCTCAGATGAAAACATGAGTGACAGGTCACTTATTCTTTCTTTTAAATCCAAGTTTTTTTCTTACCTTTTGTTAAGTATTTGTGTTAATGTGTTAAATTTGTGCTTCTGTAGTTAAAGACTCAAGTATAATAGTGTACAATAGAGACAACAAAAGTGTGCTTTTTAAAAAACTGTATGGAGGCATTTTTATTGTTTTGTGTTAGAGCATCTAAAATTCAAATTCTGATTGCGAAATAATACTGATTTCAGTGGCCAGGATCTAATGCTGTACTTCAGTATTAAAGCACAGAATCAGGATTTCTTCCTATCTTCTTCACACTACAGTAACGTGGCACCAAAAACCTACAACAAGGGTTCTTCCAGAGCAGTTTTTCAGGGTACAGTATAGGCTGAAGGAGGTCAAATTGCTGATTTTGATGGATGCAGTCAGATCCAGAAGTACACCATTGTATCCTGGCTAAATTATTTTCCTTTCTACCATACAAAGGCCACTTGTACTTTATCTCAAAATATATATATGTTTCTAAAGTCACAGACATTGTAATTCTATGTAGATTAACTGTGAACTCAGCAGT